AATATGGAAATAAGACTGAGAATATCATTTTTAAAGTGCATGAGGGTTGCCAAGAATCCCATCAGGGCTGTAAAGTGTCTCTAAACGATTCTATGAGTTGGCTGCAATCAATCCTGGACCACTGTTAAATTGTAATTGGTTGGATTACTTGAACATGCTCCTTCCAAACTTTCTTAATAACTCTATTATGAAATGTGTCACCACACAAATGTGGTCCACTTACAGAAATGACCCACTGCATTATTGGAGTTCCTAGATCACCTGATCGGTTCTCTTCCTTCTACACTGATTGTGTCTGCCTCTGTAAGGTCAAAGGTCTCCTCTCATGCTAAACAATGATTCTCAACCGCTTTTAGAGGTGTGTAGGAGGGAATGATGTAGACAGAGAGAAAAAGATAAAACGAGAGACTCTTAGGCTGTCAGCCCCTCATCCATCAGGGCGGTATTGACACTGATGCACTGGCTGAAGAGACATGAAATCGAGAGAGAGAGAGAGAGAGAGAGAGAGAGGGAGTCCAATCCCAACAAGAGCTGCTTGAGCGCTGTTATCATCCTATCAATCTGCACAGTGTTTGGATCGGCAACCGGGGCAATTGCAGACCACACACTCAAACACAAAAAACACACATGAAAGAATAAAAGTTGAAAAAGGATTCCTTCCACATGAGACCCACCATGCATATGCAACTGGAAGCTCTCTGGGTTTGAGACAAACATACTGTGGTAACTCTGTAGAGAGTAAAGGTGCAGGATTGATGATTAGAGATGAGACGCGGAGCTGCAGTTTAAATCTTCAAGCGGCTAATCACAGGATTAACAACCAAAGAGAGAGTGAGGAGCGGGGGAGAGAGGAGAGCGCCGCTTTAAATGCAAATCCCTGTCTTATAAAAATCAGTTCCATTTAATAGGATTTCTGAGGAGGGATGTGCATTTCTGCAGCGGGAGAGAAGTAGAAGAAACTTCACCACAGCCAAAAAAGAACAAGTGAACCACAAAAAGAAGAGAGAAGAATAAAAAGTGTTCTGCATCAATATTGATTTTTGCGTCATTATGCCACTAAACATGTATGTTCAAAATGGCACACAATCATATAACATAACTCGGTAACACTTTTGTTTAAGAACCGACTCTCACTATTAACTAGTTGCTTATTAGCATACATTTTACTAGCATATTGGCTGTTTATTAGTACTTATAAAGCAGATAATGTCTTATTCTGCATGATCATATTTTAGATCCCTTAATCCACCCCATACCTAAACAACTAACTACCTTACTAACTATTAATAAGCAGCAAATTGGGAGTTTATTAAGGCAAATGTCGTCATTTATAGTGAGAATTGGTCCCCAAACTAAAGTGTGACTCATTATTCTTACTATTATTGTGGTATGAATACTTTGCACAGTAAGCAAGTTTCTTGAATGCACTTATTTCTTAGATGACTTACTGATTTTGTCTATTGCGAAACATGATTGCATTGCCAAAACTGGTTTAAAACAGAAAAGCAACTATTGCTTGTAGTGTGGCCATGTGATACCACTTGAAAAGATCATTGTATGCTGTGTCACAAACCAGCATACAGTATACACCGCATTGTATGCTTCTATTCCATTCCAAACATAGCCAATCCATGACTGTGACAGTGAATGCATGTGCGTATGACAGAGAGACAGAAGATGAGAAGAGTGAGACAGAGAGAAATAAGTGAATAAGTGACAGAAGGTGGAATGGATAAGCTCTTTTTTGCTCCAGGGTAACAGAAGACGGAAGACAGAAGAGTTCCTGAGCTCTGACCTCACATGAAAGCCATTGATACCTCTCTCTCTTTTAGCTGATATTTCCTCACAAAGGGAATTAGAGATCAGTGCAGTGATCCTCACAGATTTGGCATTAGTTTAATCTCACACAGGGGTTTGAGTTACTACAGAATCAAATCCAATCTCCCCCTGTTGCTTCTGTTACTGACTTCACCATATTAGTCTTTACAACTGCCAAAGCAACTCCCCCCAGCCACCCATCTCAGCGAAATAGCAGGTACAGTTACCCAATTGGGTCGTATTGATTTTAGCAATATTCTGGTATGAAACAGGGGCCAGAATTAACACTTGCTAAAGGTAAGTAGAAACTAGAAATAAAAAGAAAATGCTAGATAAAGCCATCAAGACACAAGCAACAAACTAATTAAAACAGAGGCAGGGCCTATAAACAGTCAAAACATGAGTAACTTCAAAACTATCTTGTCTTTAAACTTTTTTTTACGACTTTTTAAATTTATCCAGCAGCTTTCCATTACACTTTCCAAACAATTTTTTTTTTAAAGAACTCATCAATAGAGAGAATTTACCAGAGAAGCTCAATGTCTTAAAACACACCATTGCACAGAAACCCAACGGGAAATTGGTGAGAACTATAACACACCAATATAGAGTTAACTAGGCAAGAGTTAATTCAGTCATTCTTGAGAAGTGGGACAAAACAGGGTGCAAAATTGAAAAAATAAAACCTTGTCCTCAGACAAATGAAACTACATTTATGTATCTTATATGTACTGAGCTACTGAGCTATGCTTTGATACAACCTCCCAACTTTTCTCTTTTTTAACTAAATGTGCTTTTTTTAGCTTGGACTGTGTAACATAATTTCAGCTTTATCTTTAACAGCATTCAAGATGTTTTTAACATTTCAAAACACATTCTCGTGTTAGCAGACAGATTACACTTTCACATGTGACCAATAATTCCACAACAAATATAAAATATCATAATGAAATATTATCAAAATATTCAACTGACAGAGTTGACACATCTGACGGAGGTGACGAAAACCTGAATTTGTAGTCATTTTAACTATCAAATACATTGAATCAGTCAATTACTGTATTAAAACAAACAGTGAGTATGTTATTGTTTATAAAGCTTTTATTCAAGTCACATTTAAGTATTTTGAGATATCAGCAGAGGTGAACTGTGGCAAGGGGGTCCTTTAGAGTGACAGCTGCCCCTGATATTCCCTGATTTTATTACATTTTATTGAATGTCTGACGGTGTTTACAAAAAGTGGGGACACAACTTTAAAATCATATTAAACATGCATGTGTCATTAAAAAACAACCTTGCTTTGATAGGAGAAGGAGATATTATTAAGTGTTGTTTTTGATAAAACAAGCTCTTTTTCATCATTAAAAAAAATTATATTTATTGCATATGAATGATTGAACCCTTCTCTGTGGACACACTGTTTTAGATGTAGTGAGTGGACATTAAGAAACATAGATTTGGTATAATAATGAGAAAATTACATTGAAGGTGATAATTGTGTTAAATACATTCAATTATTAATCCCTCGTGACATTTAAAATTGAAAATATATATATTTTTAAACCTAATAGCAGTTACCCCTGCTGGACCTGTTTTGTCCCATGTCTCAAGAATGACTTCTAGTCAGTTCCAGGGACAAAGGTTTTTCAGACTTTAAGGTAAAGGGACAAAACGTTTTTTTTCCTTGTATTGTCACAATTCTATGTAGAGACATTGAGACAAATATTTTAAGAACTAAAATCTACGAGGTTTAATTTTACCGCGAAACAGGCTTGATGTAAAGGCGACTTTTTCACCAAAAATGAAGGAACATTTTAGTTGTATAAAAATAAAGCTGCAAACACTGCTTAGTGGCCAGTAGGCTACATTAAAGTTTTTACATCAAATAGCATAAACAGGTCTCTTCTACAGTTCGCGACAGCCTCACCGTTCCGGATTAAACGCTTTACCGCCTCTCACTTGAGAGCACAAACTACTGGCTTTCTGACACTCATCAGCTAATTACCGCAACAGAAATGCGTCAATAACTCATTAATTGGACCCAGTGTTGCTGGAGGAGCATCACCTGCGTGTGTCTGTCACACAGGTCGGTTAATTGATTTCGGCAAGCGGGGAGCAGGTGTGTGCACCGCGCCATGTAATGTGCGGAACTAATCCGAACCGTCCGTCCGCCATCGATTAAGCAGCCTGCGGCAAACTGATAGATTTACAACGGGTACGTAGTCACCTTTAGCTAAAATCTAGCACCATATACCTCTCTCTGTATTTGCCACTGCAGGCTGAAACCTCAGTGAACAGCCATTCATCATTCCACTGATCAAAATGACTACTTATTGAGGTTACTGGATGATATGTCCCCCGACAATACAGGACTCAAATTTCTATCGACCCAAGACATCCATATATCGCTCATCCTCTTTGTAATTTAACATTTGCGTGTTACTTGAGATGCACTTATTGTGCCTCTGTTTGATCCACCCAACGGCGATTTTCAGAAAGGAAAGGCAAAGGCATGGCTTAAGAATTAAATCAATGTTATTAAATGCATATCTATAATACAGTAATTATATTGATTATTAAAGGGCACTTTAAACTCTGAAAGCAACTAATGTGAAAGCAGGGGCGAAGCAACCATTATAAATGCACTTTTAAAAATCTCTACTTTAAATCCCCACTTTTTGAGGGAGATAATTATTACTTTTAAAGCAGCACCCCCACCCTTCCCGTTTGGAGGAGTATTTTTGTACAAACTGATTCGTTTAGGAAAAAACAATTCAACAAATCCTATTAAATTGTTCTTTGCATCAATAAAGCTAAACAATTACGCCAACTACAATAAACAGAAGCGTTTTACAAACCCTCAATCTCACAGTGCCTCTGGCCACAAAGTAATAGACCAGACTGTGAGTAATAAAATCAGTCTTTACTAGACATAACCCATAGTACTGCTAACTAGCCATCAAATACATGGGATTTATGAATGCTTTCTCAGTAAGGGCCTTAGTCTTAACTTGTAAAAACAGAAGAATGGGCATAATACCCAGTCAAAACACTGCAGTGAATAAAATAACACTGCAACTGTTTTGTGTACATCATCCAATGTTATGACACTTTTATATGTAACAACATTTTCTCTATAAGGAGTCAACAGGCAGTTGCGTTTAATAAAATGATTGAGTTACCTTCTTCAGCCACTGATCTGAGCAGGAACTCCAGCAGGATAATCCAGAGCGCGGCCACATTCCTGGAGAAGAGCTCCATCGTGGAATCACGAGTGTTTTACTTGTGAATGTTTACAAAGATGGGCAAACAGTGCAAAGGTTTAAGAGTCGTCAGCTGGGTCTTGTACCCATCAGGAACGAACAATCGCACGGTGGGAGTCGTCACAGCACAGAGAAAAGCCACCAAGTCATGAGAGAGGGAAAAAAAAGCTAAACTTCAGACGAGAACAGTTTAATTAAATTGTGAAAAACAAAATCTGATACCGTGTCAGTTAAGTTTGTTATAGAAATACAGATTTAGAGAAAAATGGAGATTTAAAAATCACTCACAACTTTCTACTGTCCATATCATTAAAGAACGCAAAACCAAAAAAGTCACCCAGACGACCTCTCTATCTACACGCAAACATGTGCCAGTTTTGCCAAAAACATACGGAGCAACAACATGCCGTACGCTCGGCTGCGTGGAACCCCTTTGTGAGGGGTGTAGGTCGACTTGTCCTAATTTTCCACTCTGAAATGGGACGGCTTTCTCAAATCCACCTAATAAAATAAATCCGTCAGGCCACTTCATTTACTGACAGTGCGAAAAGAAATGTTCGTATTTGGCTCGGGTTTAAATCACATCGACGTCCTCATCCAGCGCCAGATTTCTGATTTCCGTCAGCGAATCCACCGCGTCCTTTGTATCTTTAAAAACATGAATATCCTGCGAAATAAAAGCGATGCTTGAATGCGATCATACGTCAACTCAACGGGCGAACATCGTGCTGTTTATCCGATGGCGAATGCAGGCAAATCGCGTTGTAGTTCGTCAAGATAATAACAAAACATGCGCGTTCGAGATGGGAAAAAATCTCGGCAAATTCTAGAAGTTGGTACGAGCCGCTGAGTCTTCAGCCGCTCGCGGTAAATGTGAGGTGGTCAACGCGACTGAGGAGCAGTCTCCTCCTCTCAAAGCACCTCCTCCACGAGCACCCCCTCCACTATAGGCCAATTCACCACGCCGGTCAAAAAACCCAATCTGGACGAAAAATAGATGCGTTTACGATTATATTTTGTCCATCCAGTTATGTCGTTGTTTGCAAGTTGTGTAAAGTTGCACACTAGTTCATCTTAAAGTTATGCCATTCTTGTTTGCTCTGCCTGCAGTGATTAGCGACCTCTTTAGACAAACCTTTCAACTGACTTTTCCTTGTAACAAAATATTAGCCCTGACTCTTGCAACCCTGATTCGTGTATTTAAGAAAAAGTCAAATATTGAAATTCATTGCAACAGCTGTTTTGGGCATGTAAGCATTCACCTGGCCTGGAAAAGTCAACGAAATCAACTGAATATCTATAAAACGTCCTTATCTGCTATTCATGATTGGCTGGCAAAATTATGGAAAAGTAATGTCTATTGTCTTGTGTTCTTTAAAATCACTGTACGGTAAATTATAATCATTTAGTGTCATGGTGGGTATACATCAGACTGTCATACCATCTATGGTACCGCCACAGTACTTTTTGTAAACAAGTCTTATCAGCGCATAGATCAGCTTTTTCTGTTGAAATCCCAGACCACAACAACCACTGACTTTAGAGCAAAACCGCTTCAAATAAGCTGTCACAACCTATTTTTCTTTAAAAAAGTAAAATGAAACCACACACTGGGGAGCTTTTTCCCTCTTTAATTCCGATGCTAATGCATCTCTGGAGCCCTCTTCATCACACCTGTGTAGACTGGTGTGTTATTTGGCTCAAGAATTGCACATTCACTCGGGTTCTTGTCATGCTAATTCAAGCACTTGTCTTCTGCCTGTAAACCATTAGCTGCTGCAGGAAGGCCATGAAGGAAAAGTGTGAGACTTGAAAAGCTTGGAGGGAGAAAGTGTGAGGGCCTTTGAGAGAAGAGCCACTGGAAAAGGAAGCGAAATCATGCCGTGACATGTTTTATTGTATGTTTAACAAGTTGTTAAATGCATATGAGGACGACACAATCAAGTGTGAGAAATCTGAGGCTACCTAGTGTACGAGGTCCTTCTTTTAAGCTAATGCTATTCATATGTGATGACACCAAACAGAAATGGCCATTACTGTAAATTTGAAAGACATTTTTCATTCTGCTGGTTCAAATAAATAGGTAAAAGCCAACAAGTGTAAAGTCGTGTTATTTATATGCATATTGATGAGAACGGGTTGGTAAAAGCACGGTAACAGCATTTAATCACAGAATGCACACAGACATGTCTTCACACTTTACTGTCACAGATCTCTTGTATAAGCTGCTTATGGGTGACAAAGTAGCAAAAGTGTCTCACTATGATTGGAACTCGATGTCTAAGCTTTCTTGTCCTCCTTCAAAAACAATTTATAATCACAATTTTGGTGAGTGAGTCTAGACACCCTTCTGCTGTGAATCCGGAACTAATTCCACACATATACACACATGCATGCATGTATTATACAAATTTTTTTGCCATTGCCAGTTACTGTTTTCAGCTTGAAAACAAAATGAGTATATTTACATGTTTTATTCATTAGTGCATGTTATTCCATTGAAAATTATTGTCTTCATAACCTTTAATGAAAATATAATAACTTACTCTGACTTTACATTTTGGCTAACATTATCCTGACAACATGGAACACATAGCCAAACATGTGTTAAGCGCTTCCCTCCATCCACTTTATGTGCTGTGACCAACATAAAACTAGCATAGTTCATGCAATGATTATTAGGAGGAGGAGGACTGAAATGGTCATGTTTGCTTCCAAAGTTTGAGGCAAAATGAAATGGGGTTTGCTAGTGCTCTGCTTTTACAGTCAATGCAGAATCAAAGTGGATCCTGTTTTATTTTTAAAACACACAATTTAAGGTGTAGTTACATTTACCATTGTGCTGGAAATCTTGCAGCAAATTCCATTAATTTCAGTAGGAATCCATGCAAAAAATTTCCCCATGAAGATTTTGCTAATGTTCAAGTTGGTCATGCGAATTTGTTGCGCTGACCAACATAAAGCTGCTTGGTTTTAAAAGTGACTTCTGTGTGAGCAGTGCTTCATACTTTGCTACACTATTGTCCTTGGAAAATGGAGTGTTGTTGCTCCAAAAAGAAAAATGTCTTTGTAATCTGTCATTAAGTAGTAATAGCAATGCAAGCTCACTGGTAAATGTAATTATTTTATGAGTTGGAGATACAAAAAATGTACGATTTTTAGAAGAAATTGGGCATAGAGGCCCACCCTTAACCCCAACCCTTAACTTAACAGTCAATGGCGCGTGAGCAAATCGTACGAAAACATTCAAATGAGATAATACAAATTAATATGAATTGGTGACAAATATACCTAAACAAATCTGCATCTAAACTGAAATCCCATTTTGGCTGACATCCCTTTCTATTGGCAACATGCAATTTTGTTTCACTTTGACATTTGTCAATGCAAACACCACTGATGATAATGATCATTGTAGTATCAGTCTGTGGTCAGCTACTGGTGAATTCTCAATGGAAGTTTCTCTGTCTGTCTGGAGTGTGTGCTGGATTCCAGTAAGTGTGAAGAGCGGGATAATGACAAACGTGTCTGAGGAGAAACCCAGTGTGAAGACCTGGGAGTCACAGGGAGAGAGGTGCGAGAGGAAAGCGTGAATGGACAAGTTCAGCTACAGTGTGTGCGAGGCAAGGGACAAGACAGAGAGAAAGCTGCATTGTTATAGTTTTCTTCACACAGCCCAGGAGTGACATATACTGTCTTACTCCTATACTATAGGAGGACTGTGTTATTGTAAGAATTTACGTAAATTTGATATTGCACTTATAATCGCACCCCACTGACCCCTCTTATACTCTTACCTACAGTTCAAGTGAAATGAGCAGTTACACCTGTTTGCACTGATCACACCCTAAAAATCAAATATGATCATCAGGCTTTTGAGATATAGAGTGACAACTGATAATCCTGGAATTTACAGTCATGGGTGTCATGTTTACTTGCTACTAAGATACAAACAAGCATAAATATCAGTACGGCATACACAAGGCAAGATTTGATGACCAAGAAAATCCTGAGTTTGCCCAAGTGATGCTCAAGATACATCTTTTTTGTTGGAAGGTAAGTTAATTATTGTGTTGACCTCTCTAAAACACACTAGTTTCAGTGTAATTTACATAAAACTCAATCATGAGACAATCATGTGTCTAACACCATTGTGGTATCAGTACTTAGAGTACACAAAGAACAGCAATACTAATGCTAGCTTAGAAACTACTGAATACACTTTTGATAAAACATTTCTAAATGGTAAAATTGCATTTTAAAAATATCTTTTTTATTAAACACTAATATTTTAAATCATTTTAGACACAACATTGCCAGTTGTGCTGTCAAGACGCATTGTGCCTGGTTTGACATCAGTGACATCAAATGTAGCATATTGACATTAGTGACGACATATGCAGAAACCACATTTTGCACAATCCATGAGCTATCAGCAATGTGCCCTTGATTACTTTGGGGTAATCGCCTAAATAATAAGTGAACCAAGTGACTTAATTATCTTTTATCCAAAGCGTATCTAAGTTTTCTCTCAGGATTGTTAGGATTAAATATTAGGAGGTAAACACTGGGATCAGCAAAACTACAACCCATAGAGAACACTAGAAATTACTTACAAAATGAGCTTGATTGTGTTTTTCCTGCATAATCTTACACCTTGATGAATATGCTCAAGTAAACGCCTTCAACAAAGTTGTTTTATAGGAAATTACATAAACCTAACTAACAAAAGTATTCCCAATAGTTTCCATTAAGTCTAAAGTTCACATTATTTCTGAACAGTGTTGGGGGTAACTCATTACACGTAACGCGAGTAACGTAATCAGATTACTTTTTCAAGTAACTAGTTAAGTAATTCATTACTTTTTAATTTACAAGAAAATATCTGAGTTACTTTTTTATGCTGAGAGAAATTGGCTGTAGTTCTAGACTAACTCTGAACAGGCATTACTTTTCTCACTATTTCATTTCATTTTCACTTTTTCAACAATTTAGAATTTATAAAGACACTGAAAAGCAAAATAAGACACAAACCTGCAATAATTAAACGTTAACACAAAAATCCTTGATGTATTTAGTCCAATTTTATGAACTAGTGTCTTTGCCGTGACCTTCAATGATCCAATTCAACCATACTAATAAGCAAAATTGACTAGATAAACATAACATTGGTGTTTTTTTTGTTTTTGTAATTGAGAAGGAGGTGAAACTTTCTTCTCTTGCATCTTATTCTTCATGCAATCCAGAATGGCAGTAAAGCTGAAAGGTTTGTTTGAGCTTTTTGAATTTACA